GGGGGGGCGGGTGAGGGAAGGCGGGGAGAGAATGTGGTGTACCTGAACAGAAATTGCCGATTGAGATTGGAGACATCAATCGTGTCCATATCTATGACATCGATCTTTCCAAAACCGGAAAGGGCTAAGTCTTTCAATAGCTCACAACCCAATCCTCCCGCTCCGATGACCAGAACGCGACACGTGCCAGCGAGAAACTCCCTAATCTAAAGAAAGGAAATAGGAAATAGGAAATAGGGAAAAAACACGTACATAAGAAAAAGGGAAAAAAAAATAGTCTTACTTATTTCCAACAAGGCCCACGATTTCAGTCACAATTCAAGGAAAAAGAGAGAGAGAGAGAGAGAGAGAGAGAGAGAGAGAGAGAGAGAGAGAGAGAGAGAGAAGAAAAGATGATAAAAAATGCAGGGCTTGTCACACATTGGAAATGACCCAGATTAGCAAAAATGCACATTGCAAACCAACCCCCAAATATTCACCAAATCTATAAAAAAACATCAGCAGCTTAGCTTTCGTATCATTGATTAATTTCTCTCACGAGGAGGGTTACCCTTCTTCCCCCCCGATACAACGTCCGGTCATTCTAGCTGTATTGGGGGCATCTTTCAGTCTAAATACAGCCATAATGACCGTACGTCGTATTCGGGCGAAGAACGGTAGTAGTCATCCCACTCATGTTGTCGCTACTCCTCCCCATGAGGAGCCTTCGCGAGAGCGAAAATCGACTGGTCGTCACTCCTCTACCACCTTCTTCCCCCGAAAACAACGTACGGTCATTCTGGCTGTATTTACACTGAAAGATTCCCCAAATACAGCCCTAATGACCGTACGTTGTATTCGGGTGAAGTGAAGAGGAGCCTGAGCCAAAATCGCGAGAGCGGAAATCGACTGCTCGTCACTCCTCTACCACGTTCTTCCCCCGAATACAACGTACGGGGTCATTCTAGCTGTATTTAGACTGAAATATGCCCCAAATACAGCCATAATGACCGTACGTTGTATTCGGGTGAAGTGAAGAGGCGCCTGAGCGAAAATCGCGAGAGCGGAAATCGACTGGTCGTCCCTTTTTTCACATACAGGTGGAAAAAGAGCGGGAGAAAAAAAAAAAGTGCGACCTTTCTTTCACAGGCAGGTGGAGAGAGAGAGAGAGAGGCAGAGGCAAGGGGAGAGGAGAGGG